GCTTACCACTACGCCAAAAGCAATCGCTGGTGGAAAAGGCGCAACTTATTTCCTTATAGCATAGCAGCCAACGCCGCGTTTCGATTTAGGAAGATGCTGGTGAATGACCCAACACATCCTAAACAAAAGATTTAGACAACTTACTTATCTTAATATACATACCATCAAGAACCACTCAAAAATGGACTTTGAACCTTTTCATACATGGGTTTAAAAGAAACAAATCTTTTATTTGCGTCTAAAACGAACAATTCTGCAAAAACCCATTTTTTGACCTATTTAGAGCACGAACTACCTCATAATCAGAACATATTGATTATAGAATCCTTCTCAACAGTTCCAGATTGGTATTACACGTCTAAATCCGAGTTATGAGTAATTTTATACAATTTTTATAAATTTCAGCATCAAAATAACTTAATCACGTGACTAGCTCTTATTTCTTCGGTGGCTCTTGGCTCACATTCTAACCCCCAAAACATGCTTATCATACACATTAAAATATGTTTATAAGGTTCATACATTCATTTTTGCACTTAGAACCTAACTAATGCATAGGTTTTCATATATTGGTCAAACAGAACTCAGACATTCTTTTAACTTTGAAAATTCATCAAAACCTGTAAGAAACAATGAAATAATCATTGTAACACCTTTATATACCTATCATAACTATATCCACCGAACTTCAATGCATAATTTTGCATATAACGACTCAATTTTAAAAATTAAGCAAAATAATTCTTTAATTTTTTATCAGAACATGTTTGAGTGGAAATTTTATTCTTCATTCCATCTAATAACACCTTAATGATACCAAGAAACAAACCATAACAAACATCTTAACATATTCATGAAGATTTCAATCTCTTAAAGTTCATCACTAAACTTTGATCTTAAAGATTGTCAAATATAACAATTTTCAACTTCAACTCATGATTGAACATCTTAGATGAACTCAAAACTATCCTAACATTAAATAAACTTACTGATCGAGTCTGTATTCACACACCACGGACTTACAACAAGGACCCAAAGCAAGTATACAATTAGTCTCAATATCGTCTTTCAAGTAATAAAGTGGTACAAGTACCGGATATCGTCCACAAGGATTGTAGTAAAAATTTAGATGAAAGTAATATTAAGGAAGTGATTTCAGAAGGCGAATTCAAAGACTTTGATTTGAATAGAGTTAACAAAACTAAAAATTAACAGAAAATAACAGTAATAAAAGCAAGCCAGGGTGTAAGACTTAGGGTGAGATGTAAATACTATTTCTAGTAGACCAATTCTGTCAAAATGCTACAACATGAAATCATGATGACAAATTGCTACAACATACAATTAGTAA